AACATGTTTGTCCTATTTTTGTTACGTTTTTCCATATTGTTTTGTCGTTTTTTTTCCCCATTTTAGGTATTTTTGTTGGTTTGTAGTTCATTTTGTTGATTATCGCGTGTTTCCCTTTGTTTTGGTTCTTTTTGTGTTTTTCGTATGTTTTTCCCCTTTTTTTTCTTGTTTTTGGTGTGCAGGTCAGAAGCTCGTGAGGAATAAATTTAGATAAAAAACAGGCCAGAAAAAATGGTTAGATAGATGGGGTCGTTGGCTACAAGTAGGAAAAAGCGGAATTCGATTTCGAGTTCAGACGAGTCCGAACGGGCCCGATATGTGAAATCGCGCACGGAAGCCATCAACTTCAAGTCAAAAGCTTTTGGAGAATAGGTTTTCAAGAATAAGTTGGATTTAAAAGCACAATTACGTAGAAGGCTTCGTTAGCGATGCGTAGGAAAACGGAACTCAATTCCGAGTTCGGACGAGCCCGAACGGACCTGAGAAGCAAAGTCCAGCAGGCTGCCAGAGAGCCTTAGCGCCGCTAAGGTGCCTTAGCGGCGCTAAGGCACACAGAATAGCGGCGCTACACGGTACTGACTCGAACGGCTAAGTCACCTTAGCGGCGCTAAGGCCCCTTGCAAGTCCCATAATGGTATAAGAACCCCAAAAACTCGTTTTCTTCTCGATTCTTTCACCATCAGCTCGAAGTGGGAGGAACCATAGGTACGAAAAACCTCCCCTCTTCATTTTTCTCCTTCTTCTTCCTCTTCTCCTTCCTCTCCTTCCTCCTCTTCTTCTTCTTCTTCTTCTTCGTTTTTCCTCTTCTCTTCATCTTTCTTTTTCATTTTTCTTCTTCTTTTTATTAATATTCAAGGATTAAGCTTGTAATTCAAATTCAACACTTGGAATTGCGATTTATTGTAAGTTCTTCTCTTTATTTTTAATTCATGAATAATGGTTGAATTGAGAGAGATGATGGATTGTGTTGAATTGATATTACTTAGCTAATTCTTATTGCTAGGGATAGGGGATGATTGTTCTCGTTTAATGTGTATTTGTCGGGATTGACTTGTTCGTTCTTGTGCGCTTGATTTGATTACGAATTGATGAAATCTTTTTGATTGATTGATATAATCGTAGAGTGACACTTCGATCTTGCAATTGGAAACAATTAAATGTTGATTAGTCGAGTTAGGGTTTTGTTGATTCTATATGATTAGTCGATTAACTCTCTTCTAATTTAATTAGCGACTGTTAGAACCGAAAGGGGAGAAGTCGTAGACTTAGGCTCGCATGAGGTAGATGATTTCGTAATTGAATAGTATATAGGTTTTGGATTGAAATACGTGCTTGTCGATGACTCGTCCCTTGTTACGGATAGTTGTTGGGATAGGGATAATTGGCCGGTGTCGTATGCTCAAGTTTGTTCATCTATGTTCAATCCCTTGTTACGAAGAGTAATTGGGAGCGAACCGCTAGATGCTTAAGCGAGAGCGTCAATCTAGAATAAAATGATTAATGTCCCGGTGTGCAAATAAAACTTGAATTAATTATCCCCGACTCCCTAGCTTCTTCATCGTTGTTTCGTTTATATTTTTAGGTAGATTATTGTTTATCTTATTTCTTAGTTAATAATTATTCAACCCCCCTTATTTGATTAGAGTGTTTAGGATTTTATTTTCTTTTTGTGTGAAATCAATACCGAAGCTAAATTCCGAACCGCCTTCCTTGTGAGATCGACCCGGGGAACGAATCCTTCGATTCGATAATCGGTAAAAATAACAATTTGTACACAGCAAAACACAAATGCAACCAACTGACCAAAGGACCTAAGCTTCATTCATGTCTGCATGTTCCCACTGCATTCAAAGCCCGGTGTTAGAAGAGTTGCAGCCACTGAATTCAAGCCAGTCTGCCGTTGCCAGCTTGATTACTTCAGCTTCTGGCCTCCATGCTTTTTGAAAGAGCCAAAGGTTCCTTAACTTCCAGATCCACCATAAGATGTATGTGGATAGATGAATTCTGTGCTCTGCAGTCTTCTTTCTGTCCATAGAGGCAATCCACCACCACCAGTCCCTGAAACTGTAAGTGTCTTTCATGGAGTCTCCCGAGTCTATAGGTGCAATCTTCCAAATCATCTGTGACATTTGACATTGGAAAAAGATATGCTCTATAGTTTCTGGAGCTTCCCCACAGCAGTGACACATTTGATCAACCTGAAGGCCTCTTTTGTGAAGATTGACACCTGTAGGTAGAGACTTAGAGAGGCATTTCCAAATAAGATGTTTAATTTTTCCTTTTATCCTCAGCTTCCAGTATCTCTCCCTTACTGCTTTGTCTTTCTTTCCAGAGTTACTGCCATCTGCTCTGTCCATCTTCAGAGTTTTTTGTAGCATCAAGTGGGTATATGACCTGCAAACATGTCTCCCTCATAAATTTGTTGGAATGATTTTCTACCTCTATAAATATTTGAGAAATTTTCATCTATCCTACAAGATTTTGAAAATATTGCAAAAATACAATCCATAAACAATTAATTACATCTCTATCTAATATGTAATACATAACTACATTAAAGCCTAAAGTAAGTTACCATATCCATTCAACTTTCATCCCCTTTTTGTGGGCAGAGAGAGAAATAAAAAATAATAACTGACTCATTTAATTCATTAATTCACGCAGCTTGTACATTTTCTAATAGAGAGAAATAAAAACATATATTGTAATTCACGCAGCCGTTAGGTGGTATATTTTGCGTTTATGTTGATATATATTCAGTATATAGAAATGTTACATTGCCAACTTAGTGTACAACTGTGTTGTCAACCTAGTTGTACACTAAGTTGACTATGTATCATTTTTCATTCAGTATATGTTGCAATGAAAAACATGTCTTCCATAAAAAAATTATGTCTTCTTTTTTTTTTCTTTTTTAAATTTTAGACATAAAAGTATATATAAACATATTATACCAGTTACTTATATTCCTTATACAAACAAATCTTCTGAATATGCTGAACATATACTCCATATACACACACCATATACTTAATAGTTTACAAAGAAAACTTCTTATATACTGAACATATACTCCCTATACACACCACATATATTGTCTGCCTATACACGCAACATATACTGCTGTGAACATATACTTCATGCCTATACAGACAACATATACTGCTATGAATATATACTGTTGATATGTTGTATATGTACTCAACAAAATCAAAATTCCAAAATAAGACACTTATAAACGAGGATCAGGAAAAAGGAAAAGATATCGCCAACTCTTGGAAAAAAAAAAGAAAAAAGTATCCCTACGAAATAAATGGAGTCCTTGAACATATACTCAACAAAATCAAAATTCCAAAAGAANAATCTTGAAAAAAAAAAACAAAAAGTATCCCGACGAAATAAATGGAGTCCTTGAAAGCATTCAGATTACACTCTTGTACCATGCCCTTATTGAGAAGGAGAGTAAAAATAAATTAAACCAAATAAGGAATGAAAACAGTAACTTGAATGATGGATGTTTTTTTCGAATTACAGACCACACAACTTATCAAAAGAATAAATAAAAAGGGAAATAAACTTTGCATAGCAAAATATATAAATCTAAATGTGCACAATCGCGGCGGAGACGGTCGTTAGTCTCGATCGGAACCTGGTGAAGTCGATTCCTGACCGTCGCCGCCCACCACCAGTCTTCTCCCACCATTTCTCGGTTTTTTTCTAGTAGAGATTGGGAGTTTTGTCTTCACCATTGAGAAAATTGGAGAAAGGAATGGAAATTTTTGAATAGAGACGGAGAACGATTTTGCAGAGAGAGATATATAATATCTATTTGGTAATAATATATGTACCAATTAATGATTTAATCAAATTTAATTTACCCAAAAATATCTTAAAAACTGTTGACTTGCATCTTAGGTATATTTGTATTATTATTGTGTTTGTTTAGCTAATTTATAAATAAAAATTAAAGGAAAAGTTTTATTTATGCTATGTGATTTTAAATTAATTGCAACTTTACCATACAAGTTGAAATAATTATATCTCTACCTAAAAACCCTTATTTATCTATATTAATGCCTAAAGGCAATTACCATATCCTTCTCACCTCCATCCCCATTTTTATGCGCTGAAAATAAATAATTTACTCGCATTTAATTTCTTAATTCGCGCATCTGTCAAGTGATATATATTGAGTTTATGTTAGTATATATTCAGTATATGTTGTAATGAAAAACATGTCTTCCATCAAATTTTTTTTTTTAACTTTTATACATAAAAGTATATATATAGTTTATAAACATATTATAACATGTTACTTAATATAAACCATACATATACACAACAACAACAAAAAAATCAGTTTATGTTGAATATAAACTGATTTTATACATAAAAATTATGTCTCGCGATAAATTTATTTATCATGTACCGAAAATATACTAAATATAAACCATACATATACACAGAAAAAAACTCGCGATAAATTTCTTTATCATATACTGAAAATATATTGAATAGAAACCATACATATACACCAAAAAAATTAGTGTATGGTTTGTCAAATTCGTTTTCAACAAAAAAATCTTCTAATATACCAAACATAAACTATAAATAAAACATTGTTCAGAAAAAACAAACATACATTCATAAAACTAAACAAAACTAAGCAAACTACAAATCGGAAGTGTTGGAAAAAAACATGGTATGATTCTTGATTATTTACACCACAATTAGTATTTTTGCAAGACCAAGTAAAATACAAACTAAAACTTCATTGGTCAAACGATACATTTGCGAGACTTGGTAAAACAAATGAACTTTATTCCGAAATTCTGAAATATGATTACTCTACCACGTACGTCGCATCTATCTGTCCCCATTTAATTCATCCCTACCAAAATTCGCCGGACGGAAACAGATTGTCACCCTCGATCGAAAAATTGGGGCTATCGAACCCTTCAAAAATATCTCTGCAAACGAACGATTCAAAAGCAAAGGCCCTATGATCTTTCATCACAAACGCCACGCCGGGCTCCGCCGGGGGCCTCCCTGTGACCTTCCACCTTGCCCAAGCGTCGGACGAGGCTGGGCTTCCCGTCCTCACCTCCACCGACCTCAACATCCAGTTCATAAACGCCTCCGCCAGCACTTCGTGCAACGACGGCGGCGCTGGGATCTCCGATTGGTTCCCTTCCTTGGGGCTTTGGCCGTGAATATGGGTTGCAGGCTGGGGGCAGCGGACAGCCAGTTCCAGATCGGATGTCCCAGTTTGCCGTTTCCATCTCCCTAATCAAAACCCTAACGAAATTGCGGACGGATTCAAAGTGTACTGCAAAACCAGAACAAAATTGGTCGGATGAAAAGAAGAAGAAAAAAGAAAATAAAGGAATAGGGAGAGATGAGAGAGAATATAAGGAGAGTTAATGTATAAAATCCCGTGTAATCTCTCCTTCCCTAATTAAAGGATTAATTGACTTAAATTTGAATCTATCTATATATAATAAGAATTACTATTTATCAAAAATAGTAGCAAAAGAATAGGTCAAAATTTAATGCAGCCTATAAATAGTAAATTTTATTATTTTTCTTATTTTTTTCTTTAAAAATCATATAGCATTAAATGTTACCTTAAATTTTGGGCTTTAGTTCATGTCATTATTTAAAAAATCAGGCTAAGATTTATTAAGTGCGTATGTTTTTATTTTTATTTTTTCTTAAAACAATAAGCAATATTAAAATCTCGGTCTCTATATTTATAAAATCTCAATTCAAAATATAACAAAAGTTTTAGAATCTTGGTCTTTATATTTGTGCCTTTAAAAAAATATTGAACACTAAAAAATATTCTTTAAATTGCATAATCAATCAATTAATTCTAATTTTTTTAAAATTACTATGTTTATTTTTTACTAATATTCATAAAGTAAAAATAATTAATTCATCTTTAGATATATAATTTATAATCTTAATATACTATCATTTGGTGTAGACATTTATTATATGAATCATGAAATATTTTTATTTCATAAAATCAAATATATTTAAAGAAAATAAGAAAATTTCTTCAGATCAATTGAGTGATTGAATTAAGGTACTGCCCAGGTTGATTGTATTACTTTTAGGTGATATTTAAAATAGTCAAAAAATTTGACACAACGTGGTTGGTCCCAAGTGACTAAGTTATGTATCAGTTCGACCACACCAAATCGATTATTGAACCTAAATATAAATTTTATATTGAAAATATTTTATTACGTGAATGTGATGTAGTCAAACTTCAAATAATCGACTGGTGTTGACGGATTCGAGAGCAAATATTTTATTAAAGCGAACTAGACTGGTTATAAACCAGTGCTTGATCCATCCGGTCGGACTGTGTCCAACCCGATATTCAAAAACAATGAATAAATCATGATTAATGTTATATATATATTTAATTTATAATACAATCATAAATATTGTTTTTTCGTGCATCGCATGGACCATGCACTAGTTCTAGTATATATGCAATTATGTTGGGGTGATTTGGTATCTTTACACATAAATATTAATTAAGTGTAAATGTGTAATATAAAATACATTTGATAGTATAGGGTGTAAATTCCTCCAAAAATAATATATATATATTTTTAAAAATTTTAAAATTAATGATTCGATTCAACGATTGACCCGGTGATCCAGTGACCAGGAGACCTGCGGGGTCGATTCTCGGGCCGGATTTAAAAACTATGGTTTGTCGTCGTTATTTTAATTACACGAAATAGGCTATATTAGTTGCTAATTTACATAATTTTCATTATCAAAAACTAGTACGCCATTACTTAATACCAGGCTACATAGTTGTACAGATTGTACAAGGTTTTAAGTTGCTGGTTTAGATTCATATCCAAATATAGATGAGAATTTAGTAGGTAGACTTTACAAATCTGTAGTAATATATATAGTATTGTTGGACAGTTGATAAAGTTGAATCAGTTTTTGCCAGTTTGTCCGGCTTTCGAGTGACCTAAATATTTTTCGGAGGCAAAATCAGAGCAACCAACACACAGGTCCAACAATGGTTAACCAAACCAACAATCTGGTCTAACCAACAGACAGGTCCAACAATGGTTAACCAAACCAACAATCTGGTCTAACCAACAGACAGGTCCAACAATGGTTAACCAAACCAACAATCTGGTCTAACTTGCATAGCATGGTTATATAGTGTCATACAAATCACAAATTCCACACATGCATTTAACTCAATCTCATCCATGGTTGAATTTTTAAGAAAGGTAAAACACAGATAACACAAACAACACAATGCCACATATATTATTTATAGATGGCAGTAAGCTAGTTTTTAGTTCCCCTGAGAAGTGAAATCCATTTGCATATGATCATGTGGACAGCTGTCCTGATTCTGACCGGCATTAGCAGCAGATGACGAGGACGGTGCCATGTCAGCTCCCATTGTGTTCTCTTGTGATCCTCCGCTCTCCCCTTGTCCTGTGGGGCCCACGTCGTTCAGCTCCCCCTTCCATATTAAACACAAGACAGGAACATATTAATTGTAACAAAGTTATATTTATTTTCCAAACAAGATTGTGCATGTATTCCACCATCCATAGTACTTCTTTTGCTTTGCGGAAAAATATTGTCGACATTAATAAGATATAAATATAATGCAGTAAATAAAAAAATACATTCTATTAACAAAACTACTACAAGAGCATAAGAATGTATACTATATGTTATTATTTAAGTTCAATTATTATGAAGAAAAGGGAAAATAGGCAACATGGATACACAAACAATTAATGCCTGTGTGTTAAGCAAATAATTTCCAAGGTTAAATTTGGAGAAAACTGTATTTGCTCGAAAAATAATTGGCATACGTACAGACCTTCAAATAGGTAAGAATCTGAGACACGGTGACCATTCTACCCTCTTGCATTATCTTTAGCATCCACTCGTGAAGTTTTACCTGTAAATTATCATATCAAATATTATCAAAATACAAAACGATGTAGTTCAATTTCTTGCAGTTATCCTCTAGTAAGAGTTTCCAAATAGAGTACAAACTATACTGTGCTGGAAATGAGGTCCACCAAAAGTGCATTTTAGAAATAATATAAAATCTTTCTTTATTGAATTCGTACTAACCGTTTAATGCAGTCACAACGTCCATAAGTTAGGGTAATGCACTTGCTTCAAAGGATAATTAAAAGTCATTTTATGCACATAACTGAGATTGGTTGACACGAATAGACAAGTCATGGATCTTGTTGATTTAGTGAATATAACAGGTACTAATCTTTCTTTACTAATTCTCTATGCGACTATCAAAATGAATGTATTTCAAAGCGTGTTCGAAAACGTTATAAAGATGAAAAAGCAATAGACTTTCTCCACCAGAAAGAAAATAGCCCTCATGACACAATGAATGAGAATACAAACAAAATTATTGACGACGAGATCAAAAGGATTTCACTGATTTCGTATATTAGATTGCTGATAAACAAACAAATTCTCCTGCTATGACATAAATGTGAAACAAAAGCAATGAAATAAATGCATTAACCTACAAAGATTCAGTCATATATATATATATATATATATGTTTTCAAAAACGTAATGACCGGAAAAGAAAATAAACAAATAGTTATATTTGACCAAAATTGCAGTTCTATTACCTACAAATCCATGCATCGACTTGAAGATTTTTCCACATTAGTCAAGCCAACGGTTTTTAGCAAGTGGCATGATTATTCACACATCACGCATTTTCGAGATTATTCCGAACAAGTAAGCTCTTAAATCGAGAACCTTACAATTGGAAACGGAAACGTGTTATTACGGATCAATAACATATCTATCGCATGACAGCGGCTTCACTCAAACGGAAGGTTATGATCTTGATAAAAACTCTTTAACAAAACCTTCATTGTATCATCAGTCTTAATTAGTACTTGGTTTATACTACAAAATAGCTTGACATGTTAATTATAAGATGAATTAGAATCTTTTAGGAATTGAAGTTCCTGAGGCTTACAGTAATAGATTCTAATAGAAAATGATGCGACTCATTGACCTATAATGCAAAAGGAAGATTTTTGTCTGACCTAACATACACTTTGTAGGAAAATCTCTAATCAAAATATGAAAAGTAATTAGGGACTTCCAATTAGTTCAGTCGAGTTTATAGATCAAATTGCATAGATTACATATTGAAAAGGTTTAACTGTTAAACAGGTTCAAATCTGAGTTGTTGAATTTGTTTAAGACTTACATAAGCGTACTTTTCACCAGCGGCAAAAGCAAGCTTCTGATGATCGAGTGACTGAAAATAAAAGCGAGAGAGATTGTTAGCGACATTCTGAAACAAAGAGTGCAAAGCCCTTTCGCTCTCCTCCACAGCGCCAGTAGCCTCTAATTTTCTTTTGGGGGCCATGCTTGCTCTTCCTTCTCCTTCTTTTCTATTTTATTTATTTTGTTTTTCTTTAAAATCCGACGACATGGTATATATATATAAAGCGAGATGAGATGAGTGGAAAGAAAAAGAGAGATTGAGGAAAAAGAAGTTGAAATCGTATAAATGGTGCAGACAGATGTAAGCGGATGCAGACAAGCGGGCTTTTATTGTACTGTGCATTTGTTGAGCGGTGGATTTTCTGAATTTCAACAGAATATTCCCACTTTGATTGACCTCAATATATATTATGGTCATCATGGTAATACTTGTAACTGCCTGCAATACACTGGCGACAGACGATGACAATTAGTTGATGATGGCCAGGCCTGTTTTATATTTGAACAAAGTTTTATTTTATTTTATTTTATTTTATTTATTTATTTATATAGCCCCGCCCATTTCAAAGTTCGAACTACAGATTTATTATGTACTCAAATCATACATTTTCAATTTTAACCAATAGAAGGGAGGAAAATTTATCGGTGTTAAGAGAGGTAGAGGTCGGTCTAAACTCATTTGGGAAGAGTCGGTTAAGAGAGACCTTAAAGATTGGAATATCTCCAAGGATTTAGCGGTGGATAGGAGCGCTTGGAGGCTCGCTATCAACGTGCCAGAACCGTGACTTTTGCTCCTTTTTTTTTCTCTCTCTCTCTTTTTTCGATCTCTTCCTTTCGGTTCGAGTCTTTTTGTGTTTCTCTTTGGTTTTCATCTCTAGCCTACCCACTTGCTTGGGACTAAAAGTTATGTTGTTGTTGTTGTTGTAGAAGGGAGGAAAATTTATATGGCCTATATTCACCCAAAACAACATCATTTTTATTATTTACTAGTAAAGTCACAGTGAAATGCACATAATTATATTTTTTTTTCAAGTTATGTGATTTATTAAATTTTGGGAATTATTATGTTTAACTAATCAAATAAATTAAAAGAAGTACATTACATAATTAATGAATTGTGTCGAATGTATTGAAAGTTGAAACATAATTTNCTATTGATTAATTAGGTTTGGATATACAGTAAAACCTCGTTAAATTAATACTCGATAAATTAATAACCTCGCTAAAATAAATAATTTGTCTGGTCCAAAGTTGGGACCAATAAAAATTTGAGACCCAATCAATAAAATTATAAGATAATAATTTTTTTGAGATCCCAGTATATATATATTGGTACCGACGAAACTATAAATTAATAATTATTAAAAATAATCCATATATATATATATATGATGCACTTGAAGATTCTTAATTCATATAAATTAACAATCGAAATTGTTGCTTAGCTAACTTTCAAATTGAAAGTTTTTTCAGCCCATTTCACCAAATCATTATGAGTGCATCCAGGTTGATATCTCTTATACTCACATAACATCTTTCATTGTTGGTTGGTCATCGTTGATTTTTTAATTCCTTTTAGATGAGTGGCCATTTTTGTGTGGGATTTACCAAGATTCCAATGGATAAATTTATAGTGCTGACTTCTATCCATGATTTAATGCACAAATGTTAGTCCAATGAACCATATTTTTGAGCTTTTAAAAAGTAAATTAATTTAAACAAGCCATTCCAACTTCCACGTGAGTTTGTGTACATAAAATTTTACTAGTACATTTATATTTTAACTTAATTTTCATCAATAACTATGCATGTATACTTAAAGTTATTCAAAAAATTTGGAACTTTGAAGGTCAACTTTCTGTCTCGATAAAGTCGGTAGAGTGGGGTAAAATCTGTGCATTAAAACCTCTTTAAATTAATAAATTATAAATTTATCGATATAATAATATCTCTATAAACTAATAAAATCCTCCGGTCCCAACATTATTAATATTTAGAGGTTTTACTGTACAAACTTTTTTTTAGTTTGTTACAAGGAGATTGGTGAGGAGGGAGACTAAATTTCTAAACAGTGTCAGCGATTTATAGCCATTTTTTGAAGCAAAAGATGAAATATAGCACTACAAGAAATTCTATATTTTGTGACAAATTTATTTTTCACGAACTAAATTTTGTCATAATTTGTTAGGTAAAAATGACAAATTTTGTTTTTGTCACAAATAAATACTATTTTATGACAAAATTTACTTTTGTGTGACGAAGAATATAACACTTTTTATAACGATACTTTGTGTGACGAAGAATAATTCGTCTCAATTTAGTATGCAATAGTGACAATTTTTTTCTCGTCGTTGAAAAATATTCTATTTGTGACAACATATATTTTTGTCACTAAATTACATATTTTATGACAACTATTTTTTATAATGAGTGATATTTTGTCACAATTTCATATTTGTTAATGATAATATTTATTTTTGTCACTAGAAATTACCTTATTAATGACACTCTTACTTTTTATCACAAATATACATATTCTATGACGAATTCGTCACAATTTAATAATTAACATTGACAAATTTTATTTTTTCACTAAAATATACCTTATTTTTTACTTTGTTAGTTTTCGTGACTAATGATAAATGTTTTCATAATTTGGTATTTAATAATGATAAGTTTTATTTAATATTTTAGTTTGTCTTATTTATGGTACATTTACCTTTCATCTCAAAGTTACATATTTTATAACTATTTTAATGATAATTTAATAATATAAAGAATAAATATTATTTTTATTACCGAAATGTACCTTATTTATGACGAATAAAAATGAACATATAAAAAGTCATTTTGTATTATCAATATTGATTGTAATATATTCATTAGTTTATACATTTAATATTGATATAAATATATCTATATTTTACAGTCACTATTTTTATAAACTGTATATGCAGATATATATATATTTACAATTACTATTTTTACAGTCACTATTTTTATAAATTATATATATATATATATATATATATATATTATATACAATAATGATCAGGTATATTCGAATGATTAGATTAAAGTAAGGAGAACATTTTTATAAATTATAAGTATAAAATCTACTTTTCATATATCTAATATATAGTTTTATCATATTTATTTATTTATTTGTATATATGACATACATAGTTTTAATAAATAAAAAATTAATATAAGTAACGTGTAATATGTAATATCCCGTTCTTTTGTTAATAAAAGTAATATTCTTAGTTCCGAGTTTGAACTACTTTTACTTTTATTAATATTGCTCGTTTTAAACTTCCGAGCGAAGCTAGTAAGTCATTCAGTTATAAGTTCACCTTTAAGTCGAGAATCGATTCGGTTTTAAGTTTATTCAGTAACTGAGTAAACTCCGGTAATTAATTCAAAACCGTTTATTTTTATAAACGAACATTAATAGTCGAGATTAATTATTTCAAGTCGACGAGATAATCGAAGTCGAGAATAATTCGATAAATCGTCGAGATTAAGTCGCAATCGAAAAATCGAACAAGTTCGGTTCGATTAATGCCGATTTCTTTTGCAAACCCTAGCCGAGCTTATATATCATTTCCTTAGCATTTTATTAAGTTATTAATATCATTATTTTGAGTTTAAAGTATGATTAAGATGTAAGTCAAACTTGGTCCAAGAAGTTCATACACAAGGTGCCGCGTCCGAGCCCTCCTCGCGCCAACCCTTCAATTCCGTGTCTAAGTGGTATTAAGTGGTAAATTAATGACCTATCTTAAGTTTCGCTCGGTCAAAGTCCCTAAAAATACCAAGAAGTCTTAGAAAATTGAAGGAAATACACATAAGGCCATGACTAAGTCAAAGATAGCCACTTGTTTTTACCACAATTTTCCTAAAGGCATTATTCACCTTCCACCTCCTTAGCCACGGCCATATGACTTCAAAATCATATGGAAATTAAGTCTTTCACCTTAAGAACGCAGCAAACACTTAGAAGTTAGGAGAAAAACCGAAAAAAAGCAACCGAGTTCGTGAACGTACGAAATTGTCACGAGAAGCAGCCCTACACCATCTTCTTTGATCTTTTGCTTAGTGATTTGAAGAGGTAAGAACCCAAATATTAGCTTGTTATATAGCTGAGTTATGAGCTTTAACATGTGCTAAGATAAGCTGAAAGTTCAAGTTTTCAAGTGAGCATAAATTTATAATAAGTGTAAGGCTCTTCATTCATGTACATGAAGCATAGGTCCTGTTTGAGTTCGATTCTGTGCATGCTATGATCAAACTAGTAAAGTAAGTTGAACATATGTAATTCTTGTACTTGTTCTGAGTATTTTCATGAAAGAATCATGTTATTTGAATAATTATAGCTCGAGTTACAAGTATTTGAAGTTTAATGTGCAAAGTGATTTCCAAGTACTTTGTTTCAGCTGCCACTTAAAATGCGAATATCTCCGTCCATAGACATGCTATTAACATGAAATTTTTATGACATGTTAACATATGAGTTAAGAGTATGAATGTCCAATTTCAGCTCAAAATGATGAGAAATGAACAAGATAAAAATGTTAGACTACCAGCATGTCAAGTTGATCTTAGTTGCAATAGAACTCAGTCTACACTCATGATTTTGATGTGAAACCTTTATGAATATTTCTTGTATGAGAATGATGATCAAGATGAAAAAGTTTCAGCTTGATACGATAAGTATGAGATTTTATAAAATTCTTTGAAGTTATGTGTATAATTAGCATAATTATATGTTAAGTTTAGCACTTGAGTTGAATGAGCAAATGAAGTGCTATTGAGCTGAAATTTGAACAGCAAGTACTTGAGTATGTTAATTATTTAACTACCAAGTTTCAGAATTTTTAGAATTTTGTATGATTTTTCAAAAATCATGAAGTTTAAAGGCTCGGTTTCATTCGAATTAAGTGATTTATGTGCTAAGTTGGTGCATAGTTGAAATTTACAAGTATATATGGTCCAAGTTAGACCGATTCAGCCAGTCCGGTCCAATTAGCGAGTGAACCGGCAGGTTCAGCCGGCGGTTCAAGTCATTTTTGGGTTCGTGTGTTCGGTCTGAGTCGTATTCCGAATTTTTAGTAATTTTCGAGCCAAAATCAGTTCATT